CGACCCGCGCCTCAAGCACCGCGTCAAGCAGGTACCGTCCGCCCGGGCGCTCGGGGCCTTTAAAAGGCTTCAGAAAGGTCTATTTATTTCTTGTTTCATTTTCTGTCGCTTTGTTTTCCTTCTTCCTTCCGCCCTCCTCTGGACTTGTGGTCCTGAAGATGCTGCTTCAATTGTGAAGTTAACCGTGCGAAGGAAACGCACTCAGAGTGTACCTAGGTGCACCTTGGAAAATCGGAAGTGTTTGCATTTGGAAACACATGCAGCGATTGTATTAAGTTACTGAAGAAAAAGGGGAAATGTGATTGCTTCTCTAGTAACACGTGTGAGGAGCAGGGAAAACGGTGATTTCTTCCGAGTGGCATAGTGCTGTGTTATATCTTGCAATAATCTCTGGGACCTTGCAAATTAAATACTTTTTCTGAGCCTCCGTATAAGTGTACTCGACTTCTGATTCCTTAAAATGTGAGAGGCTGCTTGGGAGAACTTGTTGGGTTTAATTCACAGGATCACAGTAACTGTGTCTCTACCCTTCTGGAGTGAAAAAGCTTCTTTATGGAAGGGATTATGGTAGACTTGATGTTTCCTGCAGGGCAGTAGCTGCCCAGGAGTGGCATGGAGTGTAACATAATTCTAAAGGATAATTCTAGGTTTGATTTGGTCGTTTTAAATAGAACTATTAATTTAAATGAGATTTTGAAATTCTCCACGTTGTGCCATCTGTGATACCGTACCTTTTAGGGACATTCTCTGTCTTTTTTCTCCTTTTTAAGAAGGAATCGACCTTTACAGTATTAAAACTCCAGATTTGGAGAGTGGGGGAAGAAAGCAAGTGGAGTATAGGCATACATGAATTTAATACATTTTCTCACACTTTCGTAATTGTGGTTGGAAAATGGGTTGGATTAGTTGGTGTCAGAAAAAGGTAAAAAGGCTTGATAGAATTCACTTTCATTTATATACTTTTTTATAGAATTCTTTGAAACATCTTTTAAAGGTTATAGTTCTTGTTATTACAGTATCCATACTAATCGATACAGATGGTTTTGGTTTTGGAGTAGGAGATCTAAACCATAAGGAGGTTAACTGAGAGGTACTAAGAACTTCAGGACTGATGATCAAATGGTGTGTGGTCTACAAAGTCATCTTCCTTATTAGATAAAAACAATGGAGTTGACCCAGCAGAAGTCACCAAAGCACCAAAATGCAGGATGATTCCTTTGCCAAGGAAGCTTAGCCCCCTAGTTACCTGTGATGTAATAAGCATTTCCTGTTTCATACTGCCTGGTGTGTTGCAAGGCAGTTCAAAGCTGTTTCTGGTACTCATTTTGACTTCTAAGAGGAGTAGAGTTTGAAACAGGCATATTTGGTCTAGCTGTTCTGGTGAAGTGATTTTGACAAAGACCGTCTTAAAATTCTTTGTTTCAGTATCTTGCAAGTGGTAAATGTGGGCAGTATGTGGACATTGGAATTCTAGCATCTGATTTGCAGAAAACCTACAGGTGAGCCACAGTTCGTATTCGTATATTCTACATTCAAAATATTGAATATATTGTTATTTTGTATTTACGTATTTTAAGTAAAATTATAATTTTCTTTATGTTAACTTCATTGTCTGTTGTTGAGGTTGATCAAAGCAATGAGATCATTTCCTCTCCAGTGTTTTCTTCTTATTATATGTCTAATAACTCATCTTTTATTAATGCATTGGCACAACAAAATCTTGTAGTTTGGGATTTGTGGGTTGATTTTTGTTTTAATTAAACAGCTACAAATGCATTACAGCATGTTTGCCTTTACCCCAGTGAGCTTATAATATCACAGAATATTCAGAGTTGGAAGGGGCCCACAAGGATCGTCGAGTCCAACTCTTGCCCCTGCACAGGACAGCCCCAAGAATCACACCATGTGCCTGAGAGCACTGTCCACACTCTCCTTGAACTCTGACATGCTGTAACGGTTTCCCTGGGAAGCCTGTTCCAGTGCCCAACCACCTTCTGGGTGAAGAAACTTTTTCTAATGTTTCTTATATCTAACCTACACCTCACCTGACATGCTTCAAGCTATTCCCTGGAGGGAATGTGTGAGGGAAAATAACACTTCTTTGCAGGCACATGAGGGAGATATGGGATCCAGTAAGACACTCTATTATGCTCAGTTGCTCAGCAGGACAAGTCAGTCTTGCCTAATTGTTTTTAGGCTTTTTACACTTTTCCTGGGTGGTGTGCAAGGTTGTGTTTTAGCAGATCCTTGGTGGGTTAGTGAAGGTGGAGAATATATTCTTTAGTCTTTAACAAGGCACAGATAAATAGAACAGAAAGAGAAAATGAGCCGAAACCCCTTGCCTAAGATGCTTATGGGTCTTGGGGTTTTGTTTTCTTTTGCCTCTATTTGCTATTATAAATAGCAAATAAGTAAAACACATCCTCTGTAAATGAAGGTAAAAGGTTGATGATTTTTGTTTGCATTTAAGGCTACTCATTGAATCAGAATTTCTCATAGTAACCATTATTAATTAGCACGGTTATTCCTCACTGGACTGTCCTTTCTAGACCATAGTCCTATGTCCCTATATTCATGTTTGAATTAAAATTAAAATACCATTGTCCAGTATGCTTATTAGTATGTTGCTGCTTCTCTGTGGTTAAGAGGACCTTGATAATTTTTGCTAAACATCCCTTACAGACCAGTCGAGTTTAGTGGTTTTGTTTCATTCCAGTGATTGAGCAATTCCAGGCTTAAGAAAAAACAGTCACATTTTCACACAGCTTTTCATAAGAAGTTGTGTGGAAGTTTGGGTATCAATTTACCAGGTATTTTTTCCACTGAGAATGATAACGTGTTGGAGGAAAAATCAGTTGGTGTAACCTGTTTATTTTGTTTTCTTTCAGTGTAGAATATGGACGAAGAAAAAGAAATGCCTTTAGAATACAAGTTGAAAGAGGTAGTTCTGTTAATTTTATGTTCAAGATGCTTTGATTATGCTTTGGCTGTTTTCTTAACGTGTTTGAGCTTTTCCTTTCAGTGTTTGAAATAATAAGCAATGAAAAAAAGCGCGAAGACTTAGCAGTTTTAGAAGCTGAACATGTGACAAAAAGGGCAAGACAGCAAGAGAAAAATGAGTAAGAAGAATTTTTACCACTAGCTTACTTTAATAATGCCGTTAGTGTTAGCATTTCTTTAAAGCTTTCTGTCTTCATATTATTAAATTTTGGTAGTTTCAAGGTTATAAGTAAATCCCTGATTTCACATAGGTTTGTCTTCCTCAGAAGTTCCCTGAGGTTATTGGAAGCACTTTTGTCACTGAAGACAAGCAGATACTAGAGCCAATCATGATTTCTCTGTTATGGGGACCATGCAGACCTGAATTAGTGGATAACCTTGGGGCTTCTATGATAGTTTTCCACATAAGGGCCCAGTCCTCATGTGATTCAAGTCCTTTGTTTTGTTCTCAATCTTTCTTGGGTGTGAGAGGTGGGACTACAAGACAGTCTATTCAAAGTAAATCACCAGTGGGTATGAGATTGGAATTAAGATTTCCTCATCTCAAGCCCTGTGCATAGTCTCACAGACCATTCTGGTTTCTCTAACCTGTGGCAGATATTAAGGATCTCCTGGGAAATTAGGACATTGTTGTCAGAAGGACTAATCTAGTTCAGCAGTGATTTGCTACTACTTCCCTTGTGCCAGCACTGTTGATTGTGTGATCTCTTGGTGAACTGAATCAGAATGATCCTACATCAGTTTTTGCATAGGACTGTCTTTCAGCCAAGTTGCCAAGTTAATCCAACTCATTACAGACTTGGAAAGGATATATCATTCAACTCTTAATAGTAGAAAATTTAGGGCATGCAAGTCAGGAATTTCTCCCCAGCCTTAGGCTACATACCAAGGTTGTGGGGAACCACATTATGGAAATTGCATTTTTTATTTTATTTTATGGAAGTCTCACTTGCAGTTCTGCTCCTGATACATTAATAGTTTTTACTTTCCTTCCATGTAAAGGACTACTGGAAGTGCCACAGATGATTCTGATTATGACGATTATCCAGAAGATCTAGTAAGTTGTATTTTATTGTGGTTGTATTGGCATAATATATGGTTCTGCGTTGTGAAGTTGCACTTGGAGAGTTTAAAAGAGGAGCAAAAAGTTGAGGTATGGTCTGAGTTGGCAGTTCCAACTGAGAATCTGTAGACCTGAAAGGAGGCTGTTTTCTAAGCAAAAAGGAAGAACCTGTGGTGGGGAATCACTTCTGAGGAAAGCACACTGGGGGCCTGAACGACCTGGCTGTCAAATGAATGAAATGGTTGAAGGAGCTGCCATATCCAACTACTGCCAAAAGAAGTGACTGTCAATTAACAGCAGTTATTTCAGGGTAAATTGCAAAGGCTGCTGCCCCTTCAACCAGCACATGCAGTTTCATATGCAGTCATTTGTTTTGCAGAGGCATGGTTGAAAGATGCATGACTCTTTTCCCCAGCAGGGATAATGCTACATTATGTTCAGGAAATAGTTTTCTTTTGCCTCTTAATATAAATAATCCAAGTTATAACCTGTCCTATATATTTTCTTTTCAAATATGTAAATCTGCAGTCTACAAATCACATGAACAGTTCCCTGATGAGCTTGTACAAGAAAGGAAATCCTGATTCTGTTCCAGCCACTCCAAAAACTGACCCAGTGGAAACCCCTCCACCTCAAACAAGCACCTTCTCCCCAGGAGCAAGTAGTGAAACATGCATCTCTGAAGGTGGCTGGTTCATTGATAAAGCTCCAAGTGGAAAAAACATTTTCATTGACCTTTCTGAGGATGGAGAAGGGGATGAAAAGAAACCGATTTCTGAGGTATTGTGTTTTAAAAACCCAAGATGATTTAAGTAGAAAGTATGAATGTAGTGGGTCTTTAATGTCCCTTCCAACTATTTTATGATACCTGTGTAATTTGACAGACTTTCAAAGAGTAATACTAAGACCAAATAGACTTTCTCTCTGTATTTTTAAAATACATTATTTTTGTTACAAACATGTGCTATGTTTAAAGGCAGTGACCATGTTAAATAGAAAGAAAAGATTGGCTTAGGCCCAGCGGGGAGTACTTGGTATTAGCTTGTTTTCTGACAGAGAAATGGATTAACCCATTGTTCTGCCACATCAGAAGTGATTTTTGAACCTTCTGGCCCATCTCAATCATGTTTGTATGAGAGGTGAAAGTCACCAAATCATTAATTTCCTCCTTATTTTTTTGAGGAAAGCGTAGTGCTCAGTATTAGGGAGACCCACGTTAGTGCCTATACTGAGAGAAAGGTAAGTGGAACTTAGCTGTTAATCATTCCATTTGCCAGTGAGCAGCCTACATGGCATGAGGCTTGCTGTAGTCATAGCATGCGGTTAAGTCTTAGTGAGCCTGAGGAAAGTGGAAATTTTTTGTATGGACAAAGTAGGGAAGTTGAAAGGAAATTGCATTGATTTGTAAAGCAGTTAAAACTAGGTTCTACTCTCCATCCAGACATTACCCACTTTCTGATTCCCTCCTTCCCCCAATGTATTTTTTTTAATTTTGGAAAAAAAAAAGCTTTGCTTAGCTGTTGAAAGCTTTATGGGAGTTAGCATTTATTTTGATTGGCAGACCAGACATTTTGGCAAGATGGTCTTTTTTTTATGTGAAGGAAGACCTACATTTGCAGCTACCTTTCTAATTACACAAAATGCTTACTGAGCAGGCACATTTGACAAATCATCCCTTAATCCTAGTATTGCATATTTTGTATAGAGAAAATGAGTAAGAAGGCGATCTTCAAATTGTAAAATGTTTGCAATACTGTATTCTAAAGAAACAAACCAAACAACAAAACCCCCCAGCTTTCATCATTGAACTTTTTTTTTCTTTTATCCTGTAGTAGTCTTTTTCTTACACGCAGTTAACTCGTGGTAGCACAGAATAGTATTTTCTTACCCTGACTTGTGACTTACTAGCGATAAAATTTGTATCTTATGGAGTAAATACATTCATACAGTTTTATTCATCTCCAAAGTGGTTTGGTCAGTGGTAGGAAAACAACTGGTGTTTGGTTTTGTTTAGTGGGTTTTTTTGGGACTTTTTTGCTTATATGTATGTTCGCTTAGCAAGAACTAACTGATGTAATTAACCCATTTTAAAAAAGGCAAATCCTAAAAAGGAAGGATTAAATTCCCACCTTGCTTGTCTTTGTATAATGCATGTAAGTTAAGTAAGCATCATAGACACACATTTTGTTCTTCTAAGTATTTGCAGAAGTTCATTGATTTTGAAGGTT